TGAATATGGTTGACCGGTTTGAGCAGATAAATTTTCAAACATCTGGGAACAGAATTGTTCAAACTCTTCCTGCTGCTGCTGTAGTTCATGTCTCTTTTGTTTTATCGCTTCTCTCTCAGACTCAATTTTTTCAAACTCTTCCAAGCTAATGTGTTTGGGCACCCGAAGCACATTCAAACGTGTTTCGACTTCTTTTAATTTTACAGCATGCTTTTCTTTTACCAGCTGGATTTTTTCTTGAAGTTCCTTTTTGCACTTGCTGATTATAATTTCTGTGGCGGCTTTAGGATCTTCCTTAACGACGGTAACTTTAACGTTTTCTCCAGAAGCCCTGATGTTTTCTTTTAGCAATTGTTCTGCCTTCTTTGCTTGATTGCCACTTTGAAAAGCAAATGTAAATTGACAAGTGCTGCCTTCCACTACCTTAGTGTCTTTTAAGAAAAACTTAAATTCGTTTCCAAGACATTCTTTTAGGTACTTTGTCATGATACCTTGACTGACATTTAGTGACTTTGGCGGCACAATTACTAAAGTGTATCCTTTTTCAGTCGAAGGTGAGGAGATTCCACTTTTCCGTTTATTTTGTTCCTCTCTGTGTGATTTCTTCTTGCTCTGACACTCGACGTTAGTAGGCTTCACAGCCTCTCCAACCGTTTCAACTTCTAAGGGATTGTTTTCCATCGATTCAGCTTGTGACAGCGAACTTCCCTTTTCCTCTAATTCGAAATCGTGTAATGCTTGCGCATGCGCCATACCACTCCTACCCTAATGACCAAGAAGCAACACCTAAAACAGTAACAACCGAAATAATTCGTTAATTCCCAAACTTGAGTTCTTGCTAATCAATTGCAGGACAGCTAATTACGGAAATTTGGGGTTCAGTTAATTTACAACCAGTGAATGTTAGAGCACACTGAATCCTTGATCCAGCTTTATCACTGAGAAAACTACAAACTCCACAGGGAGCAGAGGAGTTATCGTAAATCCAGAACCACCCAAAAGTTTGAAATATACGAACACTCCAAGGAGGACTGTTATCTCAGAAACCAGTTTATAAAATAACTAAGATATTACGCGCACTCTGATTTGCCGAGAGGCGTGTTCGCATGAGAGTATTCAAACATGGTTGTGACGTAAAGATGTTTTGCTTTCCGCGCTTTTCCACTCTCGGGAAAGTTATTTTATAAAAGCAATAAAAAACTTTTCCTTGTGTTTGCATATCCTGATATAAACACTCGAGGGGTTGGGAGAATTCTCGACAGTTATGCAAACTCGAGACAAGATGTTACAATTTCTTTCACAACACTTCAGCTATAATCGAATTCATAGTCATGTATGAAGAATTACATAACGTGCATTTATTTATAGCTTTTCCATGACCACATGCAAAAAAAGAAACAAACAAACACACAAAAACAAAAGCAAGCTTAAAGGAACACATCTAATGCTCTTGAGGCAGTAGATGCCTTCACTAATCATAGTATTTAGCAAAGGAAGAGGAGGAGAAGGCAACTAAATAATTGTCTCTCAAAATATCGCTGTTAATAAACAGCTTGGAACGGGGAAAAGATAGGGCACTTGACTCAGTTTCGTTTGCCTATATTTACTCCAACTGCTAAAAACAGGAAAGGGATGCCTCTCACAAAAGGGGAGGGGGATCATGGGTAGGACTCCCCTAGTTATGTCCCTGTACTACATGTATGGCGAAATCTTTTTGGTTAACAACCTTCACAAGACGCAGCTACCTAGGCCTAACAGGCCTTTTGCATTAGTTGATCACAAGATCAACTTTTGGTAAACACGATGACCGTTCGCTTTTGAAAAATTTGAAAAACAACTTTTGCCACCCAGTCACTCTTGAATAGTTTCCCAGACAAATCCTTGTAAATTTCGAAAATTTCAAACTGTTGTGAAATATTTCCTTAGCATTACAGAGCTCAAATTTCCTTTTAATTCATAACAGGCAATTTGAGCCCTTAAATGCGTACGAAAAAGATTAAACGATAGTAACATCATTTCAGGGATTTGTATGGAAAACCACTCACGTGTGACTGGGTGGCATGGCGGCCATTGCAATCCTTACTCTTGAGATATAGCCTGAAAATTTATAGGTTATCAAATGTTAATGTGCTCTTTCAGTTCGTGCTGACAAAATTTTTCAAAAGCGAACTGTTTTCGTGTTTACCGAAAGTTGATCACGTGATCAACTAAAGCAAAAGGCCTGTCCACCTTCTTAATTAGACCGAATCACGTGATTCTGTGGGTGTTAGGAGTTCTGGGTCAGGGCTAAAATCAGAGTGCGCGGATAATTTTTCACCAAAGCCTGATCTCTGGTTGTTACGCCACACTGACGAGCCCCAAAGAGGGCGAAACAGCTGTCTATGGCTACAATCCCACTCTGTTTTGAGTTCTTTCGGTGTCGTGTTGATGTCTTGCAGAGTTAATTTTCACGTAGTACGACCAGCATTGCAGTATTCTGCTTGCAGAATTTAATATATCTACATTATTATTTTTGCTGATCAGGTCTTTATAGATCCTTCGTTCTTCGGCATATTCGTTTGCGGTCCTTTGCAGTCCCTTGTGGTTATTGTTTGTATTTTATGGTTTTTTAGTCGTTTTGGTCTGAAATAGGGTATCAATTTCGACCATTTTTGTCTAAAACAGGGTATGGTTTGTGCACTCTAGTCTTGAATTGGGTGTGCTTTTTAGAAAAAGCTACTTCTTCATCATTTGGCGATAAGACCATTTCCCTTTTAATGTTTACGCCAACGGTGTAAGTTCCGTAACAGCTTGTCACACGCTCCGGTCGTGCGCCGGGCTCCAGGGCTTCGGGACTGAAATAGGGGAAGGGTTTCAGGAAGCGTGCTGCACACCCAACCCAAGTTTCCTGGAAGAACCTCCTGGGGGTTTTTCATCGTATTTTATTGCTGGCTGTCAGTGTCACGCCATTCAAAATAGATCAAAATAAAAATCAAAACCATTCGACAGACAAAGTCCAGAATCTGGGAAATGAACGGAGGTAAATGTACAAAGACCCTCGCCAAGATTTGGGTCGCAGGAATAATTCGTATGCGAGAAATCCGGGAAATGTTTTACCCAAATTTATAGAGCTTTGTATGGAGACGCCATGCTGGAGCTCATCCGGATGAGCTCCAACACAGAAACATCTGTGAGGGGCACCCAACGGGGATAAAGTTCAAAACCACTTAACATAGCATTGTTGAACGTATTTCAGTATTCAAACGGTAGATATAGGCATATTTTTATTCCCTAAAAACTTTTCATCTGTTCGGATTTCCTAGCTAAAAGTCTAGTGATCCGAAAATTATAGGGATAAAAACTTACCTTCTCGAAAATTTCAGCCAGGAAAAGGCTCCCGAAAATTCTAGGTGGCCTTTTTTAGGGTCAAAATCCGTTGAAAATGGGTAATTATACCATTTTGTAGATGTTCGAAAATCCTAGGAGAGGCAGGCAAGGAAGAAATTTGACAACAAATGCTCCGAAAATTCTAGATCTCAAATCGTCTTCCGAACAGATATTTTCCCGAAAATTGCCGTTGGGTGCCCCTGATCTGTTACCGAGTTTTGCTACAAAAGCGTGAATTCACTCCTAGAGGAACGCATAAACATTAAAGTAATACTTTTTCTACTCTATTACAAAACCAAGAACTCTTTTGAAGCGAAAGTTGGTTTGAAAATTAGTTTTCAGCCGTTCTAATACACCATGAAAGTAAAATCTCAGTAGGATCGATAGTTTTGTAGTTTGAATTTTAGTGACGTCATGTGAAAACCAACAATACACAAACGGGGGGTTATTGTGCCACGCGTTCCTTGCGGAGACCGTGAAAAGTGGGACTAAGAATCGTTTAGCCTGCTTGGAAGTAGCGGGCGAAAGAGAGAACGGGCGCGCGCGAGGGAGACACGCAAGGGGTGAGGGAGCTTCCTTTCCCCTCGCGTGTCTCCTTCTCGCGCGCCCGTTTTTTCTTGTGCCCACTACCTCCAAGCGCCTGCTACGCAGGCTAAGAATCGTTGCGTGATCGAAGCCACTCATGTTTTGCGAAGAAAGGTTAGGAAAGATTAAATTTTGAGCTTTTCCGAAACGTGTCGGTCCACGAATTCTATCGCTTGAAAGCGTTGACAGCTTTGGAACAAGTGAACACTAATGAGTGGTCGAAAAAAATAAGAATCTTAATCAGCAAAACTGCAATGGTGGGGTGTTGTAAACTTTCATTGTATGCAAATGAGTCTTGTGATGAGCATGGGTTTTACTTTCGGCGATGATTAAAATGACGTGCCATGTAAATCACTTATTTGATCTCTAGCAATGATGTAATTTCTCTGGAATCGAGACCCTTGCTTTTCGTGTATTTATACACGCGAAAAGCCCGCAACCGCAGACGTATTTCTGGTCGTCGCTAACACGCTTACTAACTCAATTCAGAAACAAATGAAAAGTATCGAGTAGTAAAATCATGTTCCTTGTAGAATTAATCGCCTTCTCATTTCTCCATCTAATCTCCAAGGAAGCGAGACTGATGCCGCTGTTAGCGCGTTCCTGTTTTATAACAAAGGAACGAGTGGTACTTACCTCTCGGTCAGTGTGCCATGGAAGGGCCATTGAACCCACTGATTGCCAGAAAACAGTGAAGTAGTTAAGCGGCGCGGACACACATGCGACTGATGACCGCTTTAAACCATGTAAAACACTCGACATGACTCACCTGACCAGAATTTCCTTGGCACTTTCGTTTCTTAAAATGTTTAGGACACACCTAACCAGAATTTATCTCGCTTTCGTTATTTTCTTAAACGTTATTATTTACTACAAGCAAGCTATTTCCTCAGTATCGAAAATTTCGTCACGTCTTATTAACGAGTTGTTCCTACCAGTCTAAAAACTCGTTATGTGACTTGTTTTACGCCAACGGAAGATGGTGAAATTACATAGATTCATACCTTTGGCTTTGAATTCCCTATATTTAGGTCGTTCATGCATCTAACATGTTTAACCAGGAACGCTTGCCATCGCTTTCACCTTTTCTGCGAACAGGCGAACACATCTACGCGATCTTTCCACGAAAACATCAACCGGAAGCGGAAGTAGAATGCGATTGTATTCTTTTCGGGTCTTTGGGCTTAGAAAATACCAGCTTCTGCTTCTCATGCCCGGTTTTCAGCTTTAAAGTTTAATCTATATCACTATGCTTTATTTTCATCGGTAGTGAAACATACAAATATATAATTATTTTAAATTTTTTCGTTTACAGCCTTCCTGGGGGACTGTTTTCTAGTAGTTCTGTATTGACCGTGTAGTTTCCAGTTCCTTGTGGTAAACATGGCGTCTCAGACTGAAAGGTGGAAGTCAGAGTTATAATTCCTTCTTTTATCCCAGGCGAGTGTTATTGAAAGAATGAGACCACCACCAGTAGTAACTGGCATCTCACCTGCTGAGGGTCCTCCTGGAACTAAAGTGATTATACGTGGGGAGAACCTCGGAATCAACGCCAAAGATGTGACAGGTATGAACAGCTGAATGTCAGAATTGGAACATGTTCTTTTCCACCTAATACCTCCTTGAACTCGTTCACTTGTTACAAACATAATGCCAGTAGGTAATCTACAGAATAAGGGACCTCTTTTTTACACATCGAATTCATGAAGTTAACCACAACACCAGCAGTAGACTGGATTCTCATATAAGATAAAAATGCCCACATAAATATCCTTTTACCTATAAGATAACCAATAGGAACGATGTGCGTATGGTGACTCCAAAAAAAACTCGCAAAACTCTTTGTTATGGCACTGATAAAAAGAGAAATTCTTACCTGTCACAAAGTCTTGTACAAGTCTTGTTTTTGCGAGTTTTTTTTAGAGTCACCATATAAACTCAATTACCACCAGAGCAAATAAGACTCTTGGCTTACTGCACCGTAACCTGAACTCATGTTCACCCTATATCAAGAATGTTGCCTATAAGCCCCTGGTAAGACCGCAGCTTGAATACTGTAGCCAGATTTGGGATCCTTATGAGAAGGGTGACATCTTATCACCTGAGAAGGTACAACGATGAGGAGCTCACTTTGTTAGTGGAGACTACCGTAGAGAGTCAAGCGTAACCTCAGTTGGCAGGTTGGCAGTCACTTGAAGAGCATAGGGCGGTAGCCTGCCTGATGCTTATGTACAAAATTGTCCATGCTGTTGTCAATAGCTCCACCTCACGCCTCCTGCCAAGTGGTCGCCAATCATATTTATCGAACCCTTGACCTTTGCAATGTTAGTGCAGTGCTCTAACAGCTGGGACCAGGTCAAAGGTTTAATTCCCATACCAGCCTAAATTTTTCAGGATTTCTTTTCGTGACTACAAAAGCTGCATCTATTATTAAACCTTATTGCAATGATCTTCTTTCATGGCTACCTTGGGGATAGAGATCAGATGGGTGCCTTGAGGAGAGGATAAACAAGTGTATAATGCATTCCTCAAATAAATGGCCATCTTGGAGGGGTAGACAATAGAAGAGGCTTAGAGTATGCTTATTTGAATACTTTTAATATTTATAGGACTGTCAATTTGTGGTGCAAACTGCCTACTTTCTGCGGATTATAAGTCAGCTGGTAAAATCATAGCACGAACTGGTCAGGCCAAGCCAGGCAAAGGAGATGTTATTGTTACAACACGGTCTGGGGGTGTAGGAACCTCAACTGTGCAGTTTAAAAGTGTTGTGGTAGTGCCAGGTAGGTTGAATAAAAATATGTGTGCACTTCTTTCAGGGTTTTTTGCAGCAGATTGCATAATCTATGAGAAATCTCATAGTTAAAAAATTAATAATTGGAAAAAGTAACTAATTATATAAATGCTTATAATCTATAAAAGCTATATTATAGTGACTGGTATGACCATACAGTGTGAGTGGTCTATAAGAAATCTGCCCTAGAGAATTCAGCGTTCAGTTTGCCACATAATACAGCTTGCATAATGTGACCGTCAGCAATTTTGCATTAGTTCCTATACCCTTTCGTATGGCCTGTCTTTTACGATACTGTCAAACTATTGTTGTTAGTTATCTTATTAACTGTTACTAGATAAAAATGTTAAGTTGTCCTTTTTACAGCAATTGGTGAAACCTACAACATAGGTCTCTACTTAAACACAGTAAATCTGTGAAATTTCAAAGGGCAGAGGATTAAAAGGAAGGTCCATTGTTTGACAGGAGTCTAGCTTGACATAAACTTATTTGCAATAATTTTTGGGTATACAGTTGATCTCCAACTAAGTTTAACTTTTCAAACAAAATTTTGTTATAATTTGATATGTTTGCAGTTGACTGTATACATGTTGATTTAAACTTGCTGTCTGCAGATCCATTGAAAGAAAGTGCTGTTTGGTTAGAAGAGGTCGATCCAGAAGAGCTTAGGGCAAGATCTGGTTCAGCAAGACCAGTATCACCTCAGATAAACGCAAGCCAGGATCCTCTAGGAACAGGAACTGATGTTTTTGGGTCAGTTCATTCAAACAGCCACTGTAGCCATTTATTTTTTTTGTATCTCAATACCTTTTTCTGACCCTGGTGTTGGTCAGTGGCTTCCCCCCTAAATATTGCTTGTTCTTGCAGTCAGCTACCCACCCTGTTTTGCAGGCCTTGGGTTCACAGGCTCATTCAAGCTGACAAAATTACCGCTATACACAAGAAAAGCAAGTTTTAAAGCTACTTACACATGTAACTGTATTTATGAGTAAAATTTTAATATAACTGCTCATATTGTGATGTTTAAGTCATGTAATTGACATTGTCTGATAGAAATGAAATCAATGTGTAACCACAGGAAAGAGTAAAGAGGTCCACCAATGCACAAAAATTTGATACTTATTAACTTAAATTTAACTTAACTTTCTAAAACTCCTTGATCAGCCCCTGTAATAATAATGTTCAGCATGTCCTAGACCTGCTAAGCCTGCGAGCAAGCTCTCTGGGGTTCTCTGGCGGCGGGGTGGGAAAAGGAAGGAGAGCTTGCAACTACTTCTCTGGAATTGGAATATCTGTATGGAAAAAGTTGATGTGAAATGCTGATTGGCAGAGATGACATTAGTAATGACGTCATTACCTTTGGCGTGTGCTTTCACATGTTTTTCAATGTTTGTTTACGTTCGCGCTGGTTTCCATTTTGTGCTGATATTTTGGCGAAAATCTCACCACTCAGTCGACGGGAAGCTACAAGGGAATTGTACGGGGAATTCAAATTTCCAAAGATGTAATTGCAAGCTCTCCTTCCCTTTCCCACCATGCTGCCAGATCACCCCAGAGGGCTAGCTCTCTGGCTAAGACCTGCACTGAGTAACATATCTTATGTATAATATGTTTATTCTTTGTTTACTATTTAGTTATAAGCTTACAGAGGAGCAGCTGGAAGATTTTTATCCTGAAGGTAAGATTATGTTTAGCATTATTGCTAACATGTAATGATGGGCATTAAAAGTAGAAGCATAACCATCTTTGTTACAAAAGTGATCTTTTGTTGTCATGGAAATGTGGTTTTTAAAAGGCAATAAGGAGTGTGTATTAAGTGCGTGTGATATTTTTTAAAGTCTTTAATATTTTATGTAGTCCATTATAATGAAATTAATAGGTACTTATATATTGGGTAATTCATAAACCAGGTTTCATGTGGAAAACAATATTTATCTAGTGTATTTCTTTGTAGGAAGTGGAAATATTCTGAGTGACAACTTTCATCCTGGTTGGTTTTTACTGGAAAAGCACTCAGACACTGAGTGAGTGGAATAATTATCATTTAACAGATCAGACACAGTGTTCGGTTCTCTTAATTAACCCTTAAAATCATAGATACCAAGATGATATGTTCGAAATTCAGCTTCAGTTTTAGTTTCATTTTCTTTTTTGCTAGAAAATAGACAGTCTCAAAATGCATTAATAATAATAATAATAATTACATTATTGTTATTTTCAATGTTATTATAATTTCTATTAACAACTTAATCGCTTAACTATGTAGTCCAAGATAAAATACACAGTCTTTGGCAGTAAATGGGACTAAAGGTTGTTGGGTGCACCCTGGGGTAAAACAAGGGTCGCAGCAACACACCCCATAAAGTGCATGCAATAAGGGTGGCAGCGACACACCCAAAACTGAGTAGAGCAATAAGGGTGGCAGCGACACACCCTAGTAATATACGTAATGGAATGAGGGTGGCAGCGACACACCCTAGTAATATACATAATGGAATGAGGGTGGCAGCAACACACCCTAGCAATGAGCAGTGCAGTGAGGGTGGCAGCGACACACCCTGCACGGTAACGGACGAGGCAACGAGTGGAGCACATCCCCACCCAGGAGTGAATAAACTAAGGTGGGGTGGGGGCCCCACCCGGCCTGCTACGCGGAGGTAAAAGTAGCAGGTGTGCACCCAAGCCAGTAGTCCAGCTTTATTGAATTGAAGGGCGGGTGTGGCAGGGAAAATCAGAAACTAATGCGTAGTAAACTACTATTGGAAAATACAACGCGTGCACGCAAAGTGAACAAAACAAAGGAGCACACAGCTAGCTTTGATGGATATAAGTAAAACATAGTATTGATTACAGCTACTAACAATGAAAACTTGTTATCACCGAAGTTTGTAGAAACAACTGAAGGTCAGTTATTGATGTAATCTAAGATAAACAAGGAGCTCATGAACCAGAGCTGAGTCACGCAATGTTCTTTATGTGCGATAGCAAGATATTTGCCACCCAGGGCAAAGTAAATCATAATGAAACAATGGCTGAAGTACGCTCTAATTAGTTAACTCTATTTTACGAGTAAAATGTCCATTGTCGCAATGTTGAATATATTGTTATTATGTTTCACCTACCCCAAATTATTATTGCTCCTCCTACATTAAGATTAGAAAAAAGGGGATCTATAAAGAAAAAATCACCGTGCATGGTGATTAAAGACATTGCTCCTCTTTTCACACAAATTATATGTTAAGCCATTAAATCTGCTTGTATGCATTATTCAATGTAGTATATTATTGCTGTATATTTTTCTCTCACCATCAGATTTATTACATTAAGAGGCGGTCTCAAGTATCTGAGGCATGAAGAGTCCAGACGTGCAGCAGATCCTTTAGTTTTTGTCAAAGAAAATGTTGCTACTTTTCTAGATGCTGTTGATACATTAAGAAGTATCCTTAAATGTAACAAAATCTGTATTAAGTGGCTCTCAAATTTAATTTAAGCTTGTCTTAATTAAGTGATGATTAAACACTGAGGAAATTAAGAAAATATTAAGAATAAAACACGAGAGTGAAAGACATACATGGTGCAACTGCATAAGATGATCGGGGGGAGTCATAACAGATACATAGCAAGGTGAACATAACAAAAGCCAGCTTGTGCTGGCAAAATTTGACTCTGGATATCTTTGGCAAACTATGATAAAAAGGTGTTTCTCTAGTTCCTCACTGTAATACAGCACTTTGCCACAAGAACAATGTACCTACCTGCCAATAACGGTTGCATTTAAACACGAATGTTCTCTTTTTTTGGCCCATTTTGTGAAAATTTATGTTCTTAAATAGTTCCTTGACCTGATTGTAAGATGTTCAGCATGATATGCTTCGTGATGAGAGTAACTGTGATGGAGGATCCATTGTAGAGAAACTTGAGTCCTTTGTTCAAGGTAAAGTTAGTGAGTCCTTTGCCATTGGATTAGGCTATTTTCTTTGCCAATGTATTTCAGGTGCAGGTCCCTACTACGTGGCGTGGCAGGAACTTACTTAACCAAATATACTGTTATTTAACCTTGTAGTTATCAAAAGTGAGTGGTAAGTAAGTTCAACTGTACATTAGCTTCTATGCCACATTTTTAATTTGAAGATTTAGGTAACAATAATATGATGCTGTTTAAAGTATCATACCCAGTGACAGATCAAAATGTTAAAATGGAGACCAGTATTATTGAAAAATTAATAGGGCTTTGAAATGCCTTTGGCTTCACTATGGTTGATTTTAGTGGCTGGTTCATGATAGTTTCTTTATGGATCCACGAGGATTAGTAGTGCAGGCTTTAGTCTCTGGTGGCTGCACAAGAACTATAGCTCTGAAGTTATGGTGTGCAAGTTTCAGGAGGTACAGGAAGGAGATGGTTTCCTCCTATTTCTCCTCCCCCCCCTCCTAGTTTAATCCCTTTTCTTAATATCCACCTTGCCCTCCTCAATCTTCATCTTCTTTAAAACTACACATTTGAAATTAACTAAGTGCTAGTGCCCCCCAAATTTTTCCGAAAACCAAGACCTCCAACTTGAAGCTAACCATGACTATTCCTTAATGTTTGCTGCAGGTGCAAGCAAAAATGCTGAGGGTTTGTTTCAAGATGTACTGGGTCGTAAAGATGATGCTGACAGAACTAGGAATGCACTTAACGTACTTCAGAGATTCAGATTTCTGTTCAGCCTTCCACAGTGCATTGAGAGGAACATTCAACTGGTAAATATCACAAATTATTATTATACCAAGAAAACTGCTCATCTTTTGCAATAATATATTAGTGCTTGGTTCAGACTGCATTGATTGGTGTGGTGCTATATTAAGCATGCAGTAACATAATTTATTAGTTACAAGCTACAATATCCCAGAGATTAGCACTTGAGTCTGGTTGTTCATTGCATAATTAGCAGAAGTACACTCAAGCTCAGTAAGCCAGCAGAAGGCCTATACAAGGCTTAGAACGATATTTTCAAAGCTCAATAAGAATATAATACAAGATATAAACCTTATTGTATTATAGTTCTGTGCAAATTAATAATATAATAATTAATAACAATCATTGAATGAGTACGATGGGAAGAATCATGCAGATTGAGGAGGATGTTTAATCTACCAATGCTGATGGCCGAGGTGGATAACATCCTCTGAGATGATTTGCATAATTCTTCACATCTTTGGACAGCTGAATTCTATAATGAAATTGTTAATTATTATTCATTCAAAATATTTTTTAGTTTTGAACATGCTTACGTCCAAGCTACGTTTTCAAAAAATATTTGGCCTATACTTCTCGGCATGGTTTCAGGATGTAAACAGATGTTTTATCTTGTAGATACTCCTCAAAAAGTAGATAAAATCCATTGAGCAAGATGTTTTGTGTATTCTTGCATTACTTCAATATCAAATATATCAAATATCTTCCAATTAATTATGGTAAGTGCCTGTTGGTCAAGAAGAATTAGCTGGGGGATTGGAGCCAATCAGAAATGGCCAAATATTTTTAATGAATAAATTGTATATCTTGAGACTAAAATAAGTCACTTTGAATGTGGCTATTTTCTTTCTTTGTAGTAAACGGATCTGGTCTTTCCTTATTTCTTTAGGGTGAATATGAGATGGTAATTAGTGATTATGCAAGGGCCAAGTCATTATTTGCAGGAACGGATATAAAGATTTTCAAAAGAGGTGTGCTGATTGTGCAGTATTGTTGCTATTGTTTATGGACCAACATGAGAATGTTTATAGAGTCATGTTTTTCTTCTTGCTGGAGGTTATATATTCAGATCTGTCCTTATGTACTTTTTCCTTTTCTAATGTACAGTGCTGCAAGAAGTTGAAGCAAAAATAGAAGGCTTTCGACAGCATCTTAAATTAAAACTGAGTGACTTGCCATCACCATTAGAAGATCAGAAGAGACTCATTAGGTAATTATCATGTAAAATATAATAAAGTGTGAAAATTATCTCACTCTACCAGTAATCAGCAGCATCCAAAGCAACTTTTGGTAAATTTATATAAATTCTTTTATCATCTATTGCAGTCATGCAAGCAAAATCAGCTCTTTTCAGTTAGATTGACATCCATGATTTTTCTGCAGTTTAACAACATTTGGTGGTTCACCATGTTGTAATGATAAACACGAAAGCATACAGAACTCTTCTTTTCAAGAACAACTCATTGCAAATTCGTTTTTTGTCGTCCAGTATATCTAAGGCTATGTTTTAGGAGTAAGGGAAAGTTCATTTAA